GGGTTCTTTAGGGTTTTCAGGCCTTTTCACTTTATATGGACGCACGTGCTCACTATTAGAAGGATCTATCTTCTATAAGAAAAACAAACATTTGTGCGTGTGCCTGCTGCTTCCTTTTGCACTTTGCCTAGTTTAATGTGGTGAGATGCATACGAGACAAATGGTCTCATAATCCGAATGTAGAGTTCTTTGGCATGAAGTCTACCCATGGTGTTTGCAACCAAAACATTTCTGCCTCCAAAGCTCTTCACATTTCCAACTGAAGCTCTGATTCCCTGAAGTCTTTCTTCTTCCTAGCCTCACTGAAGACTGTCTACCACCATCCTCCTCTGTCTCTCTGATGTGACGCTCTAGGAAATCCACAGGAAAGGAGCCCACATGTTGTCCTTGTGTGAATAGTTCTTTTTGTACTCTGCCTTGTGACTCACGTCACTGACCCTGAGTTGTCTCGTGTGGACACAGAAAACTCTATGTCACTGCAAATCAGTCTTTTCCTACAGGTCGATGTACATGAACTTATTCATTTGGCCTCATCTCCTATTGGGTGATACTTGATAACTTATCAGTTTCTCTTTCTCTGACTGTAGATTGTTGGAGGCATGTGCCTGTGTTTTTACTAAGAGACAATGAGGAACAGAAATACAAATCATCCCATTTGAGCATTTTCTACTTCATTCCTGCCGGAAGCCAATCATTGTTTTAATAATAGAGAGCTATGGGACAGGAATTCAGAGGGCTGGTCAACCTTAATTGCTCTCCGGCAGTGTTTCCCAAACATTTGACATATGTGTACCCCTTTTATAATTTTCTTAATGCTGATTACCCCCTCATACTCATGAGAATGTAGAATTAGGTGCAGATAAGCACAGTGCAGTGCATATCCCCACCAAATTCTGGTGCAATGCGTACCCCCACCAAACTTTTCCATACCCCTGGGGGTACGCGTACCACACTTTGGGAAACACTGCAAGGACCAGAGCTAAATACTAGATATTCGTAGTTGAAGCAGCCCCCATTGGTTAGTCCTAAATTCACTGGTTGGCTTGTATTTCAATTTCCTGCCTAGGTAATATGGGTATATCCTATAATTTTAATCTTAATAAAACGGATGGAAAATCCAGACCAAGTAGTAGTCCTCCCACTAGAGTCTGGCCCCCATTTCCCAAATTAAATCTTTTCTAAAGTCTTTTTTTTATTCCATTTGTGTGCAGCCTTCTCCAGACCCAAACCATGAACTGGAACCCTGAATCATGCAGGACGTGAAAGGGGTTCCCACAATTCCATGGGATATTGTGTTCAAATCTGGTCATTCAATTTAGCACCAGCTGGCACAGGTACAGGTGGTACGTGTCTGATATCAAACTGTGGGCATTCTGGGTAGTTTTCCATTTTAGAATTTGAATATATTCACTCCCAGTGACCTTCTCATTTGTCTTTCCTTTATTATTGATGAATGTGCCACCAAGGTGACCCTGGTCAAGGCCCTTAAACCCTGGCTGCATCCCTTGGAACCCTACCCCCTTTGACTCAGCCTGTCCGAAAGGTCTCCCAGAGTCTGTTTGTCCCTGCTTGTCCTGCCATTGACTTCAACGCACTCCAATCCACTTTCTGCCACACAAGTTGGGATGGCCCACTTTCAGAATCACTCTCCCAAGTCAGACTTAATGGTGTCTTGTCTGAAAAATATGTCCTTTTTTACTGTGTGAATTATGATAAACTGCATATACCTCGTTGGTCTAATTCTCATAATTATTAATTATCAAATTGGTCTCTCATGCCTACAGATGAAATCTATTGGAATTTTGAAAATTATCAAAAGTGTTTTCTCATGAAAAAATTTCCCCACTCTGATTGTGTTAGCTACCACTTATTTATTGTCAAGCATTTAAGTTAAGGGTGTTTTACATTAAGAAAAAAAGAACTTTCACCCTAACCAGTTTGGCTCAGTGGATAGAGCATTGGCCTGCAGGCTGAATGGTCCCAGGTTCCCTTATGGCCAAGGGCATGTACCTTGGTTGCGGGCACATCCCCAGTAGGGAGTGTGCAGGAGGCAGCTGGTTGATGTTTCTCTCTCATCGATGTTTCTAACTCCCTGTCCCTCTCTCTTCCTCTCTGTAAAAAAAATCAATAAAATATGTGTAAATTATAAAAATAACTTTACAACGTTTTCCCTAAGGGGACTTTTTTATTGTTGTTGTACTGTACATGGTCAGTGATTGTTATTCTAAAGTATCATATATAGTAGTTAAGTTTCTTGGTGTACAATGTGAGGTTGGGTGGGCTCCCTACAAAACAGTGTCTGAGCCACACCTAGTCCTCCCCTGGACCCTGAAGTCTGACCTGCATTGCACATCATGTGTCCAGCAGGACATGACACTGACAGACCAGGGGCTCTGACATCAGGTTCTCCTGGGAGCCTCAGGGTCCTCTGGGTTCCCACATCTCAGCCTACTGATGTTGGCGGCAGCTTCTTCTGTGCTCCTGGGCCATCGGAGGGAGGAGAGCTGTGTGAAAGGAGGAGGGAGTGGATCTGGCCTCCTTTGGTAGAGATGGAAATGTGTTGATGTTTTCAGGCAGAAGGTGCCTGCTTTGAGATTTACTACTGAGGACATCGCCTTAACATGGACACCTGACAGGACATTAAAAATCCAGGGTGCACAATCTCAGGATGTATGGTGCGCAAGTTGTTATAAATAATGGCTCCTATGCACCTAAGTTGACCTTCTAAAGAAAACAAGGACATGAAATCACACACATTGATCTCTTATTTCCTGACATCTTGCAGCTGAATTCAACTACAGATGGGAGGAACCTATTCTTGTAGGCAGACCGTACACTTAATTCCTCCTCTTCCTCAGTTGGGTTAACATTTCCCCACCCTGCCTCTACAGTGAAATCACCTGGGGAGAGATGTTAGGAAAAAGTGTATGTCCACTTCAACCACAGAATTACTCCTTGTTGGGAAGAGCACAAGTCAGCATGTTAATGGTTAGGTTCGATAAAGGTGTTTGTTGAAGGACATTTTCTTCTATAGGAACAAAGTGGGAAAATCCTTTCATTTTGCTTGGGACACGTAAATTTTCTTTCTTATTTAAAAAGCAGCTCCAGAAGTGGCTAATAGGATTAGGAAAATTATCTTACTGCTGAGCTGCTCCTTGAGATGGGGAGAAACAGCTAAGGTTCAATCTGTGGTTAGTGGTGGGTGCAAAAATACTGATTTAACTAAGATATAGGAGACTTCCCATCCACCCCTCCACCGCCACCATGTAGCTCAATGAGAGCTTTTAGAACAAAAATCAAGAGCTTTATTGGTCCATGTGGGCAGCATTCTGTCTCCTGTCCTCATGTTGCAGAGACTTAGGCTGAGGTACCACCAACACAATGGATCTCCCACATTGCTTAATGAGTGTTTCTTATATGTATGAGTCTTCAGAATGTTCAAATGCTAAAGCTATGATTGACATTCCTTCCATAATTATTAAATAAGTAATGCCATGTCATGACAGTCAGATCAAACTATCTACTGGAGGCTTTCATGATTTCCTCTCCTGAATTGGATTCCCTCATGTTTTCTAAGGGAAGAACAATGACTGAAAGTCTTCCCACATAACTGACTTGCATATGCTGTCCTCCAGTGTGAGTTCTCTGCTGTCTTATGAGATTAGCATGTTGACTGAAGGCATTCCCACAGTCATGACATTCATAAGGTTTCTCTCCAATGTGCATTCAGTTGTAGTTTCCAAGGTCAGATCTTTGGAAAATGCCTTTCCCACATAGAAGATACTCAAATGGCTTCTCTCCCATGTGAGTCATCTTATGTCCTCTAAGGCTGAGGCATCACTAAAGGCTTTCCCATGTTCACATAATTTACCTCTGGTGTGAATTTCATTGTGTTCATAAGGCATACCTCTTCACTGGCTGATCTTAGGTTTCTTTCTTAAATTAATTAACAAATGTGGAGACACAGAAGATCTACGAGTAAATTCATCACTCAAATAAGCCTTTGAGATCCCTTTTCTAGAACCAGTGGAGATCTCTCAATCTCAGAACATGGTGGAGGCTGACATGTTCCCAAATCACACAAATCAGAGACTGCTTTTGGGGAGGGAATGGGGAGTTCAGGTATTCAGGAGTCCAGGGAGGGGAAGTAAGGCTGCTAAAGGACCACAAGACAGGGACAACTTTGGAGGGTGAGGCCCTAAAGGCTGTTAGTGCCCCTTAAGGAGGAGATGATTTTGACTGAGAAGAAGGCATGATACAGGGACATACAGATGTTGCCCAAACTCATCCACCTCAAGGTACATCATATTCCCATCTACTCTCACTGACATGAGCTTTTGGGAACAATCAGTGTTTTTTAAATGATTCAAAATGGACAGAAATGAAATCCAATCACAATGTGACCTATTTTGCAAAATTTTATTGATGCCAAACACAAACTATACTTAAAACAAAACTTTAATATGACATTCCATAAACCAAAGATGCAAAGTCATGGGAAGGGTCCCCTTCCTAATTTCCATTAAGATAACACAGAAACGTGAAACAGTCTCATCTCAGGATAACAGGCACTGCTTCAAATCTACAGACTACACAGGTGGCCCTGCCCCGGGTTCCCCAAAGCACACAGGTACACACCTGATACAAATTCATTACATAGCTTCCTATTCCCATTCAACTTTAAGGACAATTATTATAACTAAGCTTAATTTTACAAACAATGGGTGAAAATTTCTAAAAACCTACTTCCCTTTCCCATTTGATTAGCACAAAGTATAGTTTCATATAAAATTTGACTACACCTATGTAAATTAAAAGTGCAATAACTGGGTCTGTGTGCCCGAGGCCTGATCAGCGTTCCCACCATCTGTCCACGTAGTACAGAAGGGAAGCTCTGATTCCCCAGAAACATTTGCTCCAAGTGATCTGCCCTCTAGAGTTTCTCGGGCATCTCCAGGTGGCCTGAGGCTGAGGAACATGTCTTCCTGACATGGAGTGTCTCACTGGCCATCACCTTTTTCAGAGGAAGAGGAAAGCTTTAAGGCCTCAAGGAGGACACTCAAAGGGACACAGGGACAGGCTTCCTCTGACTTCTCAGTGGTGGGAGGGATCTGAGCAGGAGTAGTGAGCTTCTCAGCAGGACGGTGGGAAGGAGGTGTCATGGGCATGGAGCTCCACGGTCCTTTGTCTAAGGGCTGGCCTGGAACCCCAGGAATTGGTGAGAAGTGGGGCATGTGGCAGGGCTGGAGAGTCTTGAGGAGAGTGCCCTGGAGCAGAGGCTGGGTGTCAGGATTCTGTGTGCTCTTCAGGCAGGGGCTGAGTCTGGGTTTCTTTGTGGGCTTCTGGCAGGTCTGGATGGAGGTCTGGGCAGATCTCTTGCCAAGCACCTTGAGGATGAGATGAGAGTCCTGGCCCACACTGTGTGCAGCAGCATGTTGGTTGCTGGGTGAGTTCCCATCAGGGAACTTGGCCTGTGGCTGGTGGATGAGGGTTTGGTTCAGGCCCTGGGTGCTGAACGCAGGTTGGGGTCTGTCATCCTTCTCATGGACACCATGGGTGGGATCCTGGACAACGTGTGTGCCTTCTGTGTGAGGGGAGTCCATGGCAGGCCCTTCCTGTCCATTCTTTGATCCAGCAGGTAAGCAGGTGCTTCTCTCAACACCTTTGATGGGAGATGCTGTGGATGTCATGACACATTTTTTTTTTGGTGAGCAAGTGGTGAGATCAGGGTCTCCATCATATTTCCTCTTAGTGTTGTGCTCAGGTCTTTTCGTGTGTGGATCCTATAAGAGACACAACACAGATGTTACACATTTGAATTTTCTCACTATCAAGTAGAAAATAAAATTAAACCAACTACAAGGAAAACAAGATCTTGTGACATGATATGGACTGCAGAGGATAAGCCAATAACAAAAGTAAAAAAAGGTGAGGCCCTTGAGCACTGCTGGATAGAATACAATGTCCCCTTGATACCCTGTCTAACATCAGATAGGAAAACATGAAGTTCTCACAGCTGTCTCCTCTTAGTGAAGAGGAAACAACCTTTTCGAGCCTCTTCCAGGGAATGAACACTTCTTGGTGTTCGAAAGGCAGTGTGGGGACTAATGAGTTTGGGTAACCAATTAGAGGGAAGGGATTCTGATTTCATGATGACTGGTTTCCCACAAGGGATGGTGTCTGGTGGAAACATCAAATGAGACCACATCCTTGCCCTCCATCACTTTAGAGGGTGGGTCAAAAGTAGGTTTACAGTTTTTGGTCTATTAAAGACAGAGCTTATTGCTGTATTATGATTTATTACTTTACCATTTTCCAAAAGAATACTGTAACCCCACTTTTTCCCCCATCCTGTATTGTTGGGACAAAATTTGTCCTGCAAAATAGGACAAATAAAAGACACCAAGAAAAATGAGTTAGGAAATTACAGTAGAGAAAGCATGGGAGTTCGCATTGAACTTTCACCATTCCCTCAGAGAGAAGACAAAAAGGAAAGTAGGGTGACCCTGATGCAATGAAAATCCCATCATCTGTGGAGACTCACCCTCACATAGGCACAGGATTCTGTCTCTTCCTTCCCATTTTGCTGGGATTTGCTTGTGGGCCTCCAGGGAAGTCTCCTGCAAGAAGCTTGTCTCTGTTCTTCATGCCTGCAACACAAAACATAACACCTGTGACATTCCATTTCTTCTCTGCAAGAAAGACGAAGCTTCCCCTGCCCCACACACCTTCCCACTTCTTGTAATCCAGGGAGCGAAGTCCCATTGTTTACCAGACTGGCCTTTGCCCCAATTCAGATCCCCTTCATGTTTTTCATGAAGGACTTTCTTTCATTCCATTTCCCCTCTGCCTGATATCTTTATAGACTAAAGATGTTCTCAGGACCAACCCTACCACCATTCACCCTCATTGATTGTCCAGGAATTGTATGAACCTGGAAGTGTGACTGGTGAAAACATGGAGATTTTTCTCTCTGTATCTCTGAGTTTAAGTGGAGATGGCAATGCATACAGTATAGAGGTAAGGACCCAGTCTTCATAGATTTCACCCCAATGTTTTCCCCACCTTCCCACAATGCTCACCATGCTCTCTGCTCAGTCTCCCTAGGAGGCCTATTAATGCTTCCTGGGTTCTGCTGGACCCGGAGATTCCGTGGTTTCAGGTTCTCCTTCATCTTATTGGAGCCCATAGCCTGGGGGGCTAGGGCCCTATTCCTCTGCTTCAGTGGACACCTGTGGCTGCTTGCCTTGTGCCCAAATTCCCTGCAGTTCCAGCATCTCACCTGCAGGGAAAGAAGGAGGTAAGTAAATCAGCCCACAGCAGGGACACATTTCAAAGGAAACAGGAGGACAGATTATGGAGGTGGAATATTGGGTACAGAGACTGTCATACACAGGGGGCTCACCTGGTGCCTGTTATTAAGATGTTGTGGTGCATGCCAAAGCCCATATTAGTTGGGAAGGAACATGGTAAAAGGCACCCAGTTCTCAGCATGAATACATAGACCCATGTGCAAAGATTTGGACACAAAAAGGGCTGCACAGGACTATTTCTAGAAAGTGAGGTTTTCTCTGAGTCCCAGGGGGACTTTGTGACCCTGATGCAATAAAAGGCCAAGAACTTGGGGACACTCACTCGCACGTTGTCACAGTATTCTGTCTTGTCCTTCCAGTTGTGCTGGGGCCGTCCTCGGGCTCTCTGTTGTAATTTCTGACGAAGATCCTGTCTGTGTTCTTCATTCCTAGAGGACACAACGTAGTATATCGATATGAGTCCCTCCACTCCTGTCCCCAATGAAACAAGCCTTCCCATGGCCTAGTCCCTTTCCCTGTATTACTATGAACCAGGGCGTAGGATCTATGCATTTACTAGACATCTACTTGCCTCATCTCACATTCTCCCCTTTCTGTGGGCACTCAAGGATTTTTCACAAAAGACGTTACTTTCCCTCCATTGTCCCTCCGCCTGTCCTTGGTAGAGATCTACCATGTCTCACCCACCCCCACAACCATTAACTCTCAGTGACTCTCAGGAAGGGATGAAACTCTGTGCACTCTTGGGAGCCACAGGCAGCTTCTCAAACTCTCCGGGTCCCTGTCTTTGGTTGGAGGTGGCAATGCAGATATTGGAGAGGTAAGGGGTGCCGGTTCCCTAGATTTCCCCCCAAAGTTTGGCCTCCCTCACTCATGAAACTCACCAAACTCTCTGCTGGGTTAATCTAGCAGCCTTGTTGAAGGGCCCTCTGTCCCACAGGTCCCTCGGATTCCAAGGATTCCGGCTCTGCTTCATATCCTTGGAGCCCAGGGCATGGGGGGCTAAGGCCCCACTTTGACGCTTCATGGGACACCTGAGGCTGCTTGCCTTGTGCCCAAAGGCCTCACATTTCCAGCATTTCACCTGGAGGAGAGAAGAAGCTCAGAGAGTCAGTTCAAAACACAGGCACATTTCAAAGGGGAACAGCAGGAGGTGGAATATGGGTCACCCCAAGGAGGGCTCACCAGGTAGCTATCGCTTAAGGTATTAGGGTGGATCCCCAAGCCCAGATCAGTTTGGAAGGAACATAGGAGAAAGGATGGAAGGGATAAACATTAATATATAGAACCAAGTGGAAAGTTGTGGACAAAAAGCAGGCTGCACAGGACACTATAAAGAAGTGAGGTTGTTCCTTCAAACTCAAAGGGACCAGTCAGACAAGTGAAGATGTCCTAGGTTAGGGGACCATTGCGAGGGAAATGGCACCCCACTTAGGGACACAGAATTTGTCTTGTCCAATCCCTGACTCTGTCATCAAGGCCACCACTTCCCCAGGTCCCCCACAGAGCCAGGCTTCTACTCACCCTGGGATTGTCCGCCTCTGGCGGGGGAGCCTTGTGTGCCATTGGGGCCCTCTGTGGCTGCTTTCCTTTCTTGGCCATAAGGGTCTGATGGGAGCAGGTTCTGGGTCACGGCCTTCCTTGTGCTACAGCACCCACGACCTTCAAGTCTTCCTGTCTCAGCTAAGGATTTGCAAATCTCCTGAAGAAAAAGAAAAAAGTTTGAAAATCGCATACAGGGCAACCTGCTCTGGCACGGTCAGTCTACTTCAAATCTGCTCAAGAGACCTCATGCCCTCAGGGAAAACATCTCTGTCTACCCTGTGACCTCTCCTTCTGAGTCCTTTGGCTGTCCTCTCATGATTTCCTTCCCCAGGGCAGGACTCTAAGGTAACACAGCTGAGACTCACCTGCTAAATGGGATGTGCATGCATAAAGGAGGGATTTAAAAGTGGAGACTGGGATTAATTCTATCCTCCGTGTCCTAGTATGGGCCAGAAAAGACAATATTTCTCGGGGCTTTCACCATCATCAAAGCATTTCAGATTGTGGGAGACTTTCTCAAAAACCAAAGGAAAATATGCTCCCCTCTGGAAAATTCAGTTCCCAATGGACCAAAGAGGAGACAAATTTCAAATAAAATTCACCCAGATGGAAATATGTTCTGCTCTGCTAGTCTGGAAGTGTCACAAATGAGATTGTGGACGACTTTTCTGTTTGTTTACCTTATCTAATATTTTTTTAATCTATGTTCATTGCCCATAATTATCTAGTTTCTAGTAAATGTGAATGAATATATTTGAACTAAGTCTGAATAAATCAAATATTGATGTCCCCATAGTTCAATCGACCAACTTTCCATTACTGCTTACCCACAAACTCTCACAAATTACAATGCTTAAGTGCTTTTTTTTTTTTTAACTTATTCCTAGCGTTATAATGAGCATGGAGAAATGCAATTTGTCCATGTCATTACAGGATGAACTGTGCTAGGAAAGAATTCTGACCCACTGCCTAAAATCCAATCACTCACAAGTTTTCTTTAGTTTCTCATCACTGTGATGGAAAATCCGAATTAAAGAACTCAACTGAAATGAAACCAGCCAAGCAGGTGTCGTTCAGTCTTGGAGCATCCAGACAGGAACCAAGAGGTCACCTGTTCCAATCCCTTTCCTGGCACAAACCCGAGTTGGGGGCTCCATCCCCAGAAGGAGCGGTGCTTGGAGGCGGCCAATAGATATTTCTCCATCATCCGTGTTTCTGGATCCAACCCTCTCCCTCCCTCTTCCTCTAAAGCCAATAAAACCTACTTTTAGGAAAAGAAAAGGTTAAAGGAAGGTCACCCACCTGCAATGCCGGTTAGCTCCTCAGTCCGTGAAAAAATCCTCAGGACAGCGAGTGCTGGCCCAGCTTCTCCGGATCCGCTGCTGCTTCCACGGAGACGGCCTGAGACAGACTGGCAGAAGCCCCAGCCCTGCTGGACTTTTATGCTGGTTTCAGGGGAATTCCGGAGTGGGCGGCGCCTACGCAATTAGCATAATCTCGTGGAGGTACACAGGACTGGACGTGATTTGCTCTGCTGGGTCGTTTAGCGTTGTCAGTCATTTACACATGACTCTCGGATGTTCGTTCTTTAAGGAAAAGGAACCTTTGTGGTTACACCTGCTGTTTTCTTCAATGCTTTGCCTTGTTGAAAGAGATGCCACGCATGGGAGAGAGAGTGTCTCCGAATACATTGAGCTGAAACAGGTTTGGCTCAGTGGATAGAGCGTCAGCCTGCGGGCACAAGGGTCCTGGGTTTGATTCCGGTCAAGGGCATGTACCTTGGTTAAGGGCACATCCCCAGTGGGAGGTGTCCTGGAGGCAGCTAATCGATGTTTCCCTTTTTTTAATATATATACTTTTATTTTCAGAGAGGAATGGAGAGGGAGAGATAGAAATATCAATGATTTGAGAGAATCACTGATTGGCTGCCTCCTGCACATTCCACACTTGAAATCAAGCCTACAACCCGGGTATATGCCCTGACCAGGAATCGAACCAAAACCTCCTGGTTCATAGGTTGATGTTCAACCACTGAGCCATCCCAGCTGGGCTAAATATATTAACTTTTAATTGTCATAATATTATTTGAGGTAGCTACTGTTGTTATTCTCTCTTTTTAAAAAATAAATAAGGAAGAGGGTTCTGCTCATTGGGATGGGATATACATTGATAACAAGTGTCATCTTTCAAATACAATAGAAGTTTATACCTAAGAGTTCAAAGTGTGTCTTTCAATCATCAGATGACTTTCCTTTACTGGTGATCCAGAGGTCTGGGTCCCTTCCATCTTGTGGTTCAACCATCATCTACAGTTTCACCATCTGCATCCTGCTTTTGATGGTTGTGATATACTAATCCTCCAATGACATAAGCCTTTGTTCCATCTAATTCCTTCAGTACATTAGGTGAATCTGATGAAAGACAAATCAGATCTTCTTTGAATTCAATATAGTGTTCTGGTTTAATGTGGATATCCTTCCATTTGACCCATCCTTTGTCATTTTCATCCATGTTCTTTTTCAACTGGCCTCCATGGCTTGTCAAGTAAAACTGCACAGAATGCAGTGCTTGTTGATTTTCTGCATAACATCATTGAATCTGCTTAGGAAATTTCTTAATGTCCTTTAATACCATCAAGCTGTCAAAACTACAGTCAATGATAAGGCTAAGCGTGCTGTGAACAACTTCTCTTCGAATACGTTTTCTATCATTTCCATCTGAGTTTGATTCTAGTTGACACTGCCGCTCCAATTGTTTTCTCTTGCGTTTTTCCTTCCTCTTTTGTCGAGCTGATGGGTTTTCAGGGAGCCTGAGAGCATGCTCAGAAAGCCCTTCTGGAATGGTCTTGGTACCGTTCATGATTCCTCCTTTTGAAACTGCAACTCCCAGAGGCAGCGATGGCAGCTATGCATAGGCAGCTTGGGTGTTGTGTCTCCGATGTTTTTCTTTCATCAATGTTTCTCTCTATACCTCTCCCTTCCTTTCTATAAAAAAAAAAAAAAAAAAAAAAAAAAAAAAAGAATACATGCTGAAACTGGTTTGGCTCAGTGGATAGAGCGTCAGTCTGTGGACTGAAGAATCCTGGGTTTGATTCTAGTCAGGGGCATGTGCCTTGGTTGCGGGCACATCCCTGGTGGGGGTTGTGCAGGAAGCAGCTGATCGATGTTTCTCTCTCATCAATGTTTCTAGCTTTCTATCCCTCTTCCTTCCTCTCTGTGAAAAATTAATAAAATATATATTTTAAAAAGAAATTTTTAAAAAATAAAAAATAAAAATAAAAAGAAGAATACATTGAGCGGACAGAGCTCTGGCAAGAAGTCCACCCACAGTATGTGCAACCCACGAAGTGGTCGACCTGCAGAGCTCTCAGGTTTCCAACTGAGGGGCAATGGAAAATCACCTAGACTAGAGGAATGCCTTAATACACACAATGACATTCACAACACAGGGAAAATATGTGACCGTGGGAAACCCTTCAGTCATGTGTTCAACCTCAGATGGCAGAACATGACTCAGCCTAGAGAGAAACCATGTGAATGTCATCCATGTGGGGAAGGCCTTTGGCAAAGGTCTGAGCTTAGAAACCACAATCCAATGCACACTGGAGATAAGCCTTATGAGTGTGGGAAAGCCTTCAGTCATGGTTTTTCCTTAGACAGCATGAGACCATCCACACAGGAAAGAAACCGTATGAATTTTCGGTATGTGATAAAGCTTTCAATCAAAGATCTTACCTTAGGAAAAAAGGAGGGAATCCATCCTTCGAAGAAATGTTATGAGTGTCATTAGTCAAAAGCTCTGGCCTTAGCCAGCCCCTTAGAATCTACCCGGAGGAGAAACACATGTATGGTCCATGTGTGGGAAGGCTTTCAGTCAAAAGTCTGAGCTTACACATTACAACAGAGTACACACTAGAGAGAACCACGTGAATGTGGTCAGTGTGGGAATGCCTTTAGTCAGCATGCTAATCTAATAAGATACGAGAGAACTCACATTGGAGAACAGCACATCAGCTCTGTGGGAAGACCTCTAGTCATTGTTCTTACCTAGAGGACTCTTCTCATGACTTTGCCCCTTTTTTATGAAATATTATATTAAATTTCTGGTGTACTGTTTTGTGTTTGCTATTAATAAAATTCTGCAAAATATGTCACATTATGACTTCTTTTTATCCCTGTAATATATTTCAGGTCAGCTCTTTATTGGTATTTCAGATTTTTCCATCTTTCCTTTGATCTTTATATCTGCAGGTCCCATGGAAAACTCCAGCCCCAGGTGGGTAGCATACCATCGTGTCCAACGGCCTGCTTGAGTTCCAAGACAGAGAATGTACCCTTTACATAGAATGCACTCAGAAAGACCTACCAGTGAATAAAGGAGTGGATGGAGCTAACATACTTTCATCACACAGTCCTTTTTGATGTCATTGAGAGTTGTAACTGGATATTAGTCTGAAAAATCCAATCACAGAGAACAGGGTGTGACCAATCCAATCACAGTGAACTGTAATTAGTTTACGTTCATTGTTATTTCCTGGATTAGGGTGTGTCCTACAAAGCTAGCACTGACAGGATTTACTGTCTTCCCAAGATAAAAAGGGAGTCAGATAGCAAACCATTTCATTTGCCACTAGACGAGGGAACTGAAGATTTTGGGACACTGGAAGAAGAGGACTGGCTGCTTTGTGGAACTGGCCTCAGCATCCATTTGGCTCCACCGTCTCCTCCAATATTCCATCTGGTGAGTTCTCTAAACACTACAATGCAAGCTGGCCACATTCCTTAAGATTATATGAAATATAAAAGCAGCTTCCCGTGACCTTCAAATTTTATTGGGTCAATATTCATTCACTTCTTCAGTTCTGATAGTGGACTGTGTGCTTCTTTTTCACTTTTGTGTTGAATCAATTTGCAATTTTTAATGCTTACCCCAAGATCCTAGATCTTGCTGCCCAACATAGTACTTGCCAACTGCATGGGAGTGCAAGATTTAAATTAATGAAATGAAATAACTAAACTCAGACCCCCGATAGCACTGGCCCAAGGCCCAGTGTTCTATAATCAAGAGAGCCTGGCAGTGATAGTCTGCCACATGCTGTAGGGCAGTGGTTGCCACCAGTAGTCTGAGTACCACAGGTTGGCAATCACTACTATAGGGCATTTCCTTCCCTCAGAAAGTGCTGTTGGCACTTTTTTCTATATCTTATGTTTTTGTCCTTTTTATACTTGTACATGCTTTATTTTTTGCCTCTCTGAATTAATTTCCTTTCATGTGTTTCATCATGTGACATTTTTTCATTTTGTTTCTCAAATGTCTTGAGATAGGTGCTTAAATTTATTTTAATCAATTAAAAATTAACATATTTTTTAAAAATAAAAAATTAACATATTTAATCATTTAAAAATTAACATAATTGTTCATGAATATTGTTTTAGCTTTGTTCCATTTGTGCTTATGCATAAGATAACTGTATTTCTATGTTGGGCCTTTTTCATATTTTCAAGGGTCTCGTTAAATTTATCAGCCTTTTCTAGGAAATTCTTGAAAAACCTTATAACCGTGGTTTTGAACTCCATAACCAGTCTTTTGTTCTCCATTTCTTTTGTTTGAGATCTCTTTCCTTGTCTCCTCATTTCCGCTGCTTCCCAGAGTTGGTAGGGTGGCTTTATGTGTTTGGTGTCCTATATGACCCGGTGGGTCAGCCTCCCCAGTTACCTGAGGTAGACACTCTTGGTGCTCCCTTTGTGGACTGCGTGTACAGCCTTGTTGTAGTTAAGTCTTGATTGTTGTTGGTAACACTGGGAGGAATTGACCTCCAGGACAATTGGATGTGAATATCAGCTGTGTCTACGCCAGGATACACGTGTCATCCTGATGTCACTAGGACACGTGTTCTTCTCCCTGGTTTAGGCAAAAGATGGTCAGTATATTTGCAGGAACTAATGAATAGTTTAGAACTATTATGTATGTTTTGTTAGTTCTTCTAAAGATTGTTACTGTAGCAATGGTTTTAAAATAAATTTAATTCCATCCCCAGAGAGAGTTTCAAATACCTCCACACTGGAGTCCAGCATAGAATAGGTTTTACTTTTATTTCCTTCTGGTAATATACATCCTCCCAGGTTTCTGGCACCGTCTCTATGTGACCATTGAATTATGGTCACATTGCCTTCTGGGTATGATTACAAAGATCTTCTCTAAGTCTATCTCTTGTTTTGCAATATTTTAAAAAGAATCTCCATATTGAGAGTCATGGCTAGATTCTTTCCAGGCATTCTCCAATACCTCATTTGGGTGAGTGAATATCACCCCACATTTTCCTCCAGCTTGTATAATACTATCCAAATGATTCTTCTCCTTTGAATTTCAATGGAATTGTGACTTTTGTTATTTTTTTAGTCTTCATTGTTGAAAGTATAACATAAGTCCCCCTTTCCCCTCCCCCATTGACCGCTTCTGAGCTGCTCTTCCCCCACCCCAGGCCTTCACTACTCTACTGTCCATGTCTTGCTTATGTGTGTGTGTGTGTGTGTGTGTGTGTGTGTGTGTGTGTGTATAGATAGATATAGATAGATAGATAGATAGATAGATAGATAGATAGATAGATAGATACTTAAAAGTGTTTGGTTGAGCTTCTCCCACCCACACTTCCCAGTCTTCCTTCTGAGAAATTATTAATGAGGGAAGGCCTAGGGAGGGTTCTGAGGTACTATTGCAGGTCAGACCTATTAGTGCTGTGTTACCCTAAAGGAATTGGAGCCCAGCACTCAAACAGTAAAATTAAAGGACAGCTATTCCATTTTCTAGTTGTAGAACTTTGTCATGTCACTAGAGATTTTGGAACCTATGTTAATGACATTTTAAAATATGTAAATAAACCATAATTAGCATGACTATTGTGGAAATATAGTAAGCAAATATGTAAATCTGTAAGTGCACCATTACATTTAATCCCAATTTAACTTTTCCCCCTAGGCCTCAAGTAGAAATGTGTGAATTAATTGTTCTTTGTTTATGATCAGTTTTCATTATTTGTCAATAAAACACATTTAATTGTGATTGATTAGGGGAGAAATTATAGTTTATAAACCTTTTCTGTCACACACAAATACATAGTCATTAGCTAAGGAAGGTAAGTACAGATTTGGATTTGAGGGTATCAGCTACCACATAACCAGTTACCAGATGGACCAAGTAGATTTCCTCATCAAGCCCAGCCATTCTTTACTCTCTGACCTCCCTTGACCTAGAGAACTGAGGCAGTACATGACATTAACTCTGTGACTCGTGTATGTCCTCCTGCTACTTTCTGATGTTGGAGATTTTAAGGGCTTGACTGCTTGGAGAACCATGCAGGTGCATAAGGCAATAATAATGACACCTAAGAAATTCCACAGTGTTTACCTGCAGGTGGAAACCAATGTCTACATAAGGCATGAGTCACGGATCTATACACTTTGAATTCAGGGAGGGACTTGAATAATTGTAAATGCCATAGGCTCATTAACATAGCACACTCAATATTCATCTTGTTCCTTTCTGTAAGATATATCTGTAATTTGACCTTCTTTGCAGCAATCACAGCTACAGCCCTATTACAATTGACCCTGAAGAGCAGAGATCTTGGCATGTTATTCTGAGAGTTCAACACCGGTTTCAGTTTGTTAGGCCGGAAGTAGGGAACATACCCAGGTGAACACTGGGCCTTTCTGACAGATGGGTCTGGAAATGGTGCACAAGACTGGCATTTCATGGCTTTTTCTCTGTCCCCAGCTTTGCTTCCTTAGTGCTTGGACTGTCTGCGGGTGAAAACCCAGAGAACGGGCAACTGGATCATTGACCATGGAGCCACAGGTGAGTAGAGAATATGTCTTTCTATGGAAATTACATCCCAGGGCCTTTAGATGGGCAAGTATCTCCTACCCTGTTTCCCTGAAAATAAGACAGTGTCTTATATTAATTTTTTTCCCCAAAGTTGCACTAGGTCTTATTATATTTTCAGGGGATGTCTTATCTTTCCATGCGCTAGGTCTTATTTTCAGAGGATGTCTTATTTTCTGGGAAACACGGTATTGGCATGGGTGTCTTAAGTATAACCAGGTAGTGTTCAGGCATCTGAGTTCCAACTAGGTTTGCTTAGAATAACGGGATAGATATCAGCGGTCAGGAACTCATCAATAGGGAATCTCCTTCTCAACATTGTACAGATTTATGACAGGCTACATTAGCCTTGCTTGTTTACAGAAGAGATCAGAGAAGTTCTCTTCAATCCATTCCACAGGGTCAGTGGCCAACCTCAAACACACCATCCGTGTCTTTGGTTGAATGAGCTTGGGGTGATGATGCTTGCAAGAGACAGAGACCCACAAAGAGTAGGACATAATAGTCCATTGTGGGGGCACCTGTGTGAGCACATGAGTACAATTAATCCAGTGTTGCAAGACCTGAGGTGAGGGCTGCTCAGTGTGGAGGGGAACAAGACAAGAGATAAATTATTTTTATTTTCCCCATTTTTTGAACTGACAATGATAAGAACGCATTTGCACTTTTGAAATTTTATAAGATGTGTAACTAAAACTACAATTCCTTCTCTTACCCCTGAATCCCACTTTTACCTCATAGAAATTAATGGGCAGGGAGTAGGATTTCCTTATTTGTGGCACCCATGAAGGAGAAGGGATATAGTAGGTAGAGAAACAGCTGGGTCCTTGGTAAATTTTGGGGGAAATACATAGATTGAACCAAATTATGAGGCTTCTGTTATCCTTTTAGAACAAGACAAGATAAAACTACCAAGAAAATAGTAATAACTGGTTATAAGGGCCCAGACAAAGTCGAGAATGGGAGGCCTCATTCCACAGGATGATCAGGCTAGGACTGGCCTTCAACACAGCCCCTCACAGCCCTGGCTTGTGCTGAACTGTTGTTTGTACTGAACACCTGAGTTCTGTAGAAATAAAACAGAAAATGTCTACTGGTACCAAGCTCTGTATAAACTTGCTCAGTTCTTTTTTTAAAAATATATTTTATTGATTTTTCACAGAGAGGAAGAGAGAGGGGTAGAGAGTTAGAAATATCGATGAGAGAGAATCATCGATCAGCTGCCTCTTGCACACCCCCACTGGTGATGTGCCTGCAACCAAGGTACATGCCCTTGACCGGAATCGAACCTGGGACCTTTCAGTCCGCAGGCCGACACTCTATCCACTGAGCCAAACCGGTTTTGGCTAAACCTGCTCAGTTCTGAGTAATGTCTAGTATTTCATGCAGGTATGCTAGACAAGAAACATTTCGTACATTAGAATATTAAATGTTTCAACATTTAGAAGCAATGACACCAGTTTATAGCTGAGGAAACAAAAGTTCCTCTAGGTACATGATTCAACCAATGGTCATGTCACAAATGTATCCCAACATGGGCATTGTTGTGTTGTGATGAATTTATGGATTTACTTGAAATTAATGGAAAAGAGAGTTTGTGTTATGAATTTATAAGTGACTATTTTATAATCACCTGTCCAGAAATCCTAATGATCAGGTTACTGAAAAACTCTCAAGCTCTGTAAAATCACATCACATGTGATTTTTCTTTAAAACAAATTATTATGAATTCAGAGTGTGTATGCTTCTAAAAATATGTCTGATAGGCAGATAGCAGCTCAGCATTCACAGTGACCAGAGTGGAGCCCTAAACACAGACTGACTTTTGCATACACCCAGCTCCCCATCATTCCTCAATGCTATCATCCCAACCCTCCTCTGCACACTGTGCTCTGTTTAACCTGGGATGTCTATGATGTTTCAGGAATCGGTGACCTTCAAGGATATAGCTATTGACTTCATCCAGGAAGAGTGGGACCTGCTGGCCACACCCCAGAGAAAGCTGTACAGAGATGTGATGCTGGAGAACATCAGTCATCTGGCTTCTGTGGGTGAGTCTTGAAACTTGTATGTATGTTTGTATGTGTGTGAAAGTATTCATATATGTAAGTGTCCATTCCTTCGTACATTGAGCAGGTACATAGAACAGCTGCCACTATTCTACTCCAGACATTGTCCTGATTCATAACCCACATAAGGAATTTTTTTTTTTACATTTTGTTTTCATCTCCACACTAGACTGTCATCTTGACCACAACTTAATATCATTTTGCAACTCTGTCTCCAACACTCAAATTATAGAAGAGAAATCAATGGATTTTGTTCACCCATAATTAAATTACCAAATACTTAAAAATAGGTTGAGTGTATTTAGAAAAGGGCAGATTATTGAAAATATGATCATTTTGATTACTCTTATGGAAATTGTGTTGATGGGGTTTGGTTTGAAAATAATATTAAACCCACTCTGGAGCCATTAACCTCTCACATTTTGAGAAAACTAAGTATTCTGACTTCAGACTTTGAAATTGGTCATGGGTATATTCATCTAGCAGTCTTCTCTGGTTTTGCCACCAGTCTGTATTTTCTTCATGTTGGGTCAAGGGCCTTCAGTGCTTTCTCTAGAATATGTTATTACCAGGACTGTTCTTCAATCCCTCTTTGTTCCTCCTCAGTAACCTGGTTTAGACTTCGTAACAGCAATGGTTAATTTGCACAGGACTCAAAATCCATGTACCTTTCCTCCACAGAGTATCCGATCTGCAATGCAGGCATGACTTTCCAGCTGAAGCCAGGAGAAGAGCTGAGGAGTGAAGGGACTGGGTTTCTCCAAGGCCAGATGGCAGGTGAGCAGCAGGGGTGGGGGCTCCAGTGTGAGGAGGTGCCTGTCAGTGACTGAATGCACCCTTAGAACATCAAGTGACAGCTTGAATATCAGGAAATGAGTTACACACCCCAAAATCCAAGGGGGGCGGGGGGGAACCAGAAAAGACTCCTCATCTTCTCATGCCTTGCATATCATAAGGCAGGTGTCCTTCCTCCAATTTTCTTTCCATTTTAGGGGAAAGAATCAACGTGTACTTCTTGCAGTTGAACTTTGACATAGTGATCCCTGTTGAGATAATCCCCTTTAAGGTTTTACCACCATAGGCAGACACAGAATCTCTGCAGCACTTCCTGCTTTCATGTCTTATTTTTATTTTTCCCTAATTTTCAATTGAGTTTACATTGTTTGTACTAGCTAGACTATTTCTTTGGGTGTTTTCTCTAATGAAGTGCAAGGTTTGAAAACATACACATATTGATCTTGGTGCACATGTATATTTTTTTCTCCCACTAAAGCCATTGTAACAAGTTATACTTTTTCATTCCCCTTAGGCGTGAGAGACCCCCTTAAAAGACCAGAGACGATATTAAGGCAGCGGGTCAGCACGAAGGGCATGGCCCCTGCCATGCCAATGGTAAGGCTAATCGATGTGGAACTAATCATCCAAATTAAATATGTGGCGATGAGATAAGTTAGTCATGAACGCAACTGCCTGAATGGAATTATGTAGTTAATTTAAAATTAAGCTTTTTCCAAGCAAAAACATTTGATTGTTTGAAATCAAGGAAGAAGTATCTGAGTATTAAACAGAGATAATATCATAAAATCAGTTGTTAGCTACTTGTTGAAACATACTATAATCTTCCAAATTTATCTAATAACTCTCTGTGATACTAAAAAGAGAGAATATGAGAATATTTATGCTTGCCAAGTCACAGAACATGTGCATGCTTGAAGCATTTTCACCAGAGACAATTACTGACTGATATTTAGAACTGATATGTGAGAAAGAAATGTATGGGTGTATGTGGGCAAACCATTTACATCTGGTCATCTCTATTCACAAAGCAGAATATTAATTCATACCTTGCCTGTTCCTATGAATGTGTTTAAAAGGCATAACACCAGTTCCACACTCACAGTGACCTGAGTAGAACCCCAAATACAGATATTTCCATACACCCAGCTCCCCAGCATTCCTCAAGGCTGTCATCCCAACCTCCTCCTCCGCACACTGGCAGGAAGTGCTCCATTTAATCTGGGATGTCCATGATGTTTTAGGAATCAGTGACCTTTGAGGATATAGCTGTTGACTTCACCCAGGAAGAGTGGGCCCTGCTGGACACGCCCCAGAAGAAGTTGTACAGAGATGTAATGCTGGAGAACATAAGTGACCTGGTCTCTATGGGTGAGTCCTAAAACGTGTGTGTGTGTGTGTGTGTGTGTGTGTGTGTGTGTGTGTGTGTGTATACAGATGTGTGTTTGTATACGTAAGATGGTAAGTGTATCTATGTATGTAAGTGTCCATTCCTTCAGACATAGAATAGCTGCTACTATCTTGCTCCAGGCACTGCTCTGGTTCTCTCATAACCGTCATATCTGCTTAGAAGGAAGTTTGTTTTTTTACATTTTGTTTTCATCTCCACATTAAAATTTCATCTTGACCACAAGTTCATATCATTTTGCAACTCTGTCTCCAACACTCAAATTATAAAAGAGAAATCAATGGATATCGTTAATCTATATTAAAAACTTTAAACTACTTATTATGTTCTTGTGTGCTTGGAGACTTAAGAGAAGAGTATTGAAAGTAAGAACATTTTGACTACTGTTATGGAAATTATGTTTATTGGGTTCTGTGTGAAAATAATACTGAACCCACTATGGAGACATTAACCTCTCACATTTTGAGAAAACTGAATTTGATCATGGAAATAAATATCAATCAGTATTTCCTGCATTGGCCACATGTCTGTGTTTCTTCCTGGTTTGGTACAGGACCTGCAATGCTTTCTCTAGAGAAAGTGTTGTTGCCAGGACCCGCCTTCACTCATCTCTGTGTTCCTCGTCAGTAATCTATCTTAGACTTGTTAACTGCAATGATTGCTTTGCTCAGGACTCATAATCCATTTACCTTTCTTCCACAAACAGGGTATCGAATCTGCAACTTGGGTGTGACTTTCCAGCCGGAGCAAGGACAGCTGAGGAGTGAAGGGACTGGGTTTCCCCAAGGCCAGATGGCAGGGGAAAGTACTGAGTTGAGTGATGAATTTACTCATAGATCATCTGTGAGTCGACGTTCTTTAATTCATATAAGAAAGAAACCTCATGTCAGCCAGCAGCATGGAAAGTCACCTAGAGAAGAGTCATGCCTTAATAGACACAATGAAAGCCACACCAGGGGTAATATATGTAAATGTGGGAAAGGCTTTAGTAGTGTCTTCAGCCTCAGACGACACAAGATGATTCACAGTGAAGAGAAACCATTTAAATGTAACATATGTGGGAAAGGCTTTTTGCAAAAGTCTGATCTTAGAAACCACAAACGAATGCACACTGGAGAAAAACCTTATGAGTGTGGTGAGTGTAGGAAAGCCTTCAGTCAGAGTTCTTACCATAGACGGCATGTAGCAATTCACACAGAAGAGAAACCATATAAATGTCCCCTATGTGACAAAGCTTTCAGTCAAAAATCTTACCTTAGAAAACATGAGAGTATCCATCCCGGGGAGAAACTGTATAAATGTCATCAGTGTGGGAAATCCTTTAATCAAAGTTCTGGCCTTAGCCAGCACAAAAAAATTCACAGTGGGGAGAAACCACATGTATGTTCCATATGTGATAAGGCTTTCAGTCAAAGTTCTGAGCTAACACGTCACAAAAGAACACACACCAGAGAAAAACCATATGAATGTAGTCAGTGTGGGAATGCCTTCAGTCAACATGCTAATCTCACAAGACACCAGAGGACCCACACTGGAGAACAGCCTTATGCATGTAAGCTTTGTGGCAGAGCCTTTAGTCATTGTTCTTCCCTTAGAAGACATGAAAAAACCCAACACAGGAGAGAAAATCATGAAAGCCTTCAGTAGATAGTCTGACCTGGCTGCACAAGAAATGGCATTGCACACATAATAAATGTGGAAGAACATCCATCATAGCTTTATCATTTAAACCCACCAGCACAAGTTTTCACACACACACACACACACACACACACACACACACACACAGCATATACATTCACACATGAAAGAAACCCTCAGTAAACAATGTGTAAAAATCTATGTATCACCAACTTGTTAAAAAATTCTCCAACACACAACTCAGCAAATAATTGATCTTTTGAGGAAATAAAAATTGTCAATAAAACTTGTGGCATCAGATGTAAGAGGCTAACATTGATCTGGAAACATTCAATGTGAAATTTTGTAAGAAATTCAATTTCAAATATAGCAACAATAAAATCTGTTGCTTAAAAAGGCTGACTATTGGTGTTCTAGTTTTCCTTTTGAAATTTTAAATGCATACATTCAACACTGTACCTCTTGGCTGGTGGGGAGAGAACCAGGACTCGGGTTCACATAGCCCTTTCCCAATGGCTCCTTCCACACACCTCAGGTCCATTTATTTATGTTCCTTTAATACGCTGGTTTCCTTCCAGGCCCTGATGCTGACAAAACCCATGGGCCAGGTTTCTCTGAGTAACATGAATCTGCTCAGGCAAGGTCATGAGGGCATATCAAAGGCATCTCACCTAAAGTCTTTCTGATACCTCTGCCTATATCTCTACAATTTGAGGACCGGAGACAGAATGCTGCCCACAGGGACCCAGAAAGCTCTTGATTTTTATTCTAAAAGCTCTGATTGAGCTACATGATGGCAATGGAGATATAGACTGAAAGTGTCTAGCACTCTCCATATATTAGTTAAATCAGTATTTTTGCACACACCACTAACCCAAATTGAACCTTAGCTGTGTCTCCCACACCCCAAGGAGCAGCCCTGTAAATAAAGCTGTAATAATCTTATTAGGCAGTCCTTAAGATGCTTTTTAAATAATTAAGAAAATTTGCTTGCTCAAACAAAATGAACGAATTTTCCCACTTTATTCCTAGAGATGAAAATGTTGTCCTTTGCCCTAATCGGTTTGGTTCAGTGGATAGAGCATCAGCCTGAAGATTGAAGGGTCCCAGGTTTGATTCTGGGCAAGGGCATGTACCTTGGTTGCAGGCACATCCCCAGGAGTGGGTGTACAGCTGATTAATGTTTTAAACTCTCTATCCCTCTCCCTTCCTCTCTGTAAAAAATCAATAAATATTAAAAAAAAGAAAGAAAGAAAGAAAATATTGGCCTTCAACAAACACCCCTATTGAACCTAAACATTAATGTGCTGACCTGTGCTCTTCCCAACAATCACCATCCCTAAACCACGGGCCTGGGTGAGACCCAGTAGATATAGACAATTTCAATTCTGTGGTTGAAATGGACATATACTTTTTTCTAAAATCTCTCCCCAGGTGAGTTCACTGTAGAGGAAGGGTGGGGAAATGTTAACCACAACTGAGGAAGATGAGGAATTAAGTGTATTAAGGTCTGCCTGCGAGAATAGGTTTCTTCCATCTGTAGTTGAATTCAGCTGCAATTCTGAGCAAACACCTCTCAAAGTGTGTGATTTCATGTCCTCGTTTTCATTAGAAGGTGGGTCCAGGTCAGCTTAGGTGCATAGGAGGCACTATTTCTAACAACTTATGCCAAGGACATCCTGAGGCTGTGCACCTCTGGATTTTCAACGTCCTGCCATGTGTCCGTGGAAAGGTGATGCCCTTGGTAGTAAATCTCAGAGTGGGCACCTTTCCCTCTGAAAACACTCAGACATTTCCATCTCCACCAAAGGAGGCCAGATGCACTGGTGCTCACTCAGTCCCTTCTTCCTTTATCCCCCCTCTTCCCACTGGCCCAGGAGCATAGAAGCTGCTGTCAACATCAATGGGTTGAGATGTGGAAACCCAGAGGGCCCTGATGCTCCCAGAAGGACTGACGGTCCATCAGTGTGATGTCCTGCTGGAGACATGATATGCAATGCAGGTCAGACTTCAGGGTCCAAGGGAGAGTCCAGTGTAGCATAGGAGACATGGCTGTTTTGTAGGGAGCCCACCCAACCTCACATTTTATACCAAGATACTCAACTACTATGTGAGATGATTTAGAATAATGATTACTGACAATACACAGCACAATTTTTTAAAGTCCAATTTGAAAAGAATTTCTAAAGTTCTTTATAAAAAATGTAAAACACCCCTAACTGAAATATGTGACATTAAATAAGTGGTAGTTAACACATTCAGAGTTGGGAAAATTTTTCACATGAAAACACTTTCAATAAATTTCATAATTCTGATAGATTCCATCTGCAGACATGAGAAACAAATTGAACAACTAATTATAAGAATTAAATGAACGTGCCATTTTCATATAATTCCATTTTCCAGGCAGGTCACTGTTAAATCTGACTTGGGTTAGTGATTCTGAAGGTGGGCGGTCCCACCTTGTCCAGCTGGAAAGTGGGCCATGGTGAGTTAATGTCAGAGGCAGGACCAGCAGGTGCAGGCAGCCCCGGGAGACTCAGTGACCAGGATGAGCCCCAGAGTGTAGGGACCCAAGGGGAGGAGCCAGGTTTCCAGGGTCACCAGGGAGGCACATTCACCCATAAAAGAGGAAAGACAAATGGGAAGGCAACTGGGGTTCAAACAAATGCAAATTATAAGATGGGAAACTCCCCAGAATGGATTGGGTGATCTGCTTTAAACAAAATACTCCCTGGAGTGAAGTGGGGGGGGGACACTAAAGGGTGATTATTTGAGTTTCTCTTCCTCAGTGTCTCTTAGTAAAAACCTAGGCCTGTGCCTCACACTCTCCGTGGCCAGATGCCAGTGAACGAGCACCTGAAGAAACTCTCAGGTGTCACCCAGGAGGAGAATCGCCTAAAGGAGAAAGTCCCATCTCCTGTAGGACCACCCCAGGAAAACACCGTCACCTGTGGCGACACAGCCGTCCGTGTGCCCACGTGGAATGCCTGGGGAAAGTGACTTGAGTCACCAGGCAAAGTGTAAAACCAGGTAGTGGTACAAGGCCAACATTGGGGGCTCCATTCCTGTGCATCTCCTAGGCTCTGCCTCCCAGGCACAGAGGAGACAGTGGCAGAAGACGGTGTGCAGCGAGGCCAGGGAGAAGGGAGGATTTTCATAGACTCGGAGCTTCAGTTGGAAACCTGAAGAGTTCTGGAGGTTGACCATGTCGTGGGCTGCACACACTGTGAGTGGACTTCTTGCCAGAGCTCTCTGAACTCTTGTGTATTCCGAGACGCTCTCTCTCCCACGCATGGCATCACTTTCAACAAGGCAAAGCGTTGAAGGAAACAGCAGGTGCACCCACAAACATTTGTTTTTCTTACAGAAGGTCCATCTTCCTAATAGTGAGCACGTGGGTCCATATAAAGTGAAAAGGCCTGAAAACCCTAAAGGACCCGCCACAGAGCTTCCCTTCAAGCCCTGTTTCCTTCTGGAGGATTATGCTAATTGAATGGTCACCACCCACGTGTCATGTGATCTTAACCCAGCATATAGTCCTCCATCACTACACGCTCTCCCAGTGTCCCTGCCTCTGGCGCCTTCAGAGCTGCCCAACCCCCAGTGCGGCTGGTCCAGCACAGATTGCCCTGAGGATCTGCTGACAACCCAGGGAGCACAGACCGATTTCAGGTGGGTTTCCTTTCTTTAGTATGTATTTGTTGGTTTTGAGAGAGAAGAAAGGAGACAGAGATAGAAACATTATTGAGAGAGCAACATTGGTTGGCTGCCTCCTGCAGGCTTTGAGATAGGGACCAAGTAGGAACCTGGCCGTGTGCCCTAACCAAGAATCGAACCCTTGAGCTCAGGATGAATAGGCCCACACTTAAACACTGAGCAACACCAACTGGGCAGGTTTCCTTTCCATTGGGTTCTCAGGGAATTGGGACATTAGGAAAACTAGGGAGAGAGGTGGCTTTAGGCAGTGGGGTGAGGATTCCTTCATTTTCATAGAAAACCTGAGCAGAGCGATGAATAAACTACATGTTCTCAATGCTCATTGTTACTCAAAGAGAAAATTTCCAAGGAAATGGATCCTAGCATTGTGATTTGTGTGAATATCTGTGTGATCCCATATGGAACTTGGTAGATAGAGCTGTAGGCACTTAAAGCTAAATAATTGATCTACTCAGTCTTAATTTCTAACATTCACTTCACACTTGTTAGAAAGTAGTTAAGGCCAAACCAGTTTGGCTCAGTGGAGAGAACGTCGGCTTGCGGACTGAAAGGTCCCAGGGTCGATTCCGGTCAAGGGCATGTACCTTGGTTGCGGGCACATCCCCAGTAGGGGGTGTGCAAGAGGCAGCTGATTGATGATTCTCTCTCATCGATGTTTCTAACTCTCTATACCTCTCTCTTCCCCTCTGTAAAAAATCAATCAAATATATTTTTAAAAAATAATAAATAAATAAAAAGAAAGTAGTTAAGGACAGGATGCTGAGGGTACAATTAAAACAAAAGAAACCCATCCAGGCGCTAGTCTGCAAAGCTTCTAGCCTAGCAGAGGAGGACATATTTTCATCTGGGTGGGTTTTTGTTTGTGAGTTGCCACCTTTACTGTCCAATGGAAACTTCAAATTCTCCAGAGAGGAGGATACATTTCTTTGCTAGTATGTGAGCCCCAACACTCAGTGCATTGATGATGGTGTAAGTATCAGGAAGTACTGTCTTTCTCTGTCCTATTAGGACACAGAGGGTAGACCAAATCCTAATCGTCTTTTAAATCCCTCCTTTATGCACCAG